TCTTATGTAAATTTTATTTGCTTGCTAATAAGAATCTCAATAGCTCTGCAAAAATGTAACCATTCTATCAAGACTTTTAAATAAATTTCAGCTGTCTCTTTATGTCAACATCTCATCATCAGTACTTAGCTCAAGCATCTGAACAATTTAAACAAGTGTTATTTTTGCACAGAGTGAGAACTACCATATAAACTCCTTGCTATTTAAAGTCAAACTTTTCTTTAATTAAATCTTTTTTTTTTCCTTTCTTTAAGTTGGTCACATGAACCTGGTACTCAAACAAGTGATGAAGTACTGGCTCCAAGGCAGACATTGCTTAAAGTGGTAGTACTCACAGCTTTTCACATAAAGCATGAAAAGTAGCGCTGATTTATAATAGAGCACACAAAATAGGAACTTCACTGTCATGAAGAAACTGTTAAAAAATTACAAACCCGTTTTGTCCTGGTACATTCTTACTGAAGTATTGCAAGGCTCAACTTGGTCTACTACAAAGTTGAAAAGCTGGTTTAATATAACCAGCTTTCTCCAGCTGAATTCCCTGACATCCCCAGAAGTCACTGAAAGTAATGGAAGTGTCATATTAATTTGTACACTAAGTCTGAGATTTTCTTCTTTTTTTTCTCCTGCTGATGCGTGTGCACATGTGCATGAATGTAGTTCTCCGAATAATATCAGGATTTATGGTCTGAAAAACTATAATTATACTTTTATTTTCATTTCAGCAACTTGGGTTTGATTTCTAAAAGCAAGTATCTTATCCAATTTGAATTTTCCCAGACTTTTAGTGGAGTTGTATGCTAAATACTCTACTTTAACTAATTACCTTTTAAAATTAAGATATTTTATCACCATACTGAAATTCAAATAAAACATCTCTCTTTTAATAAGCAATGCAGCCAAGAATTCAAATTCTGAAATTCAAATATTTGTTCAACCAAGTCGTTTGGTAGACTTGGAGAAATACTGCTCCAGTGTTTCAGGGCATATTGAAAAGCTCAGCAAACCTACAATCAAATTTTGATATTGTATCTTAAGCAGAAAAAAAATACATATTACAAGTAGAGCTTGTAAACACTGCAAACTGCGACTCAGTCACAACAGCCGTGAAGATAAAACACCTGCATCAGACTCCAAGTACAGGCAGTTATATAAATGAAGTGTGCATGGTAGTGGTGTAAGAACTGAAGTGTCTAACTCCTGCACGTTTAGCTAAAAAGGTTTAAGATTGGAACTGAAAACCAGGTTTCCATAAAAGAACACAGCAAAATACATTTAATCCATATCCTAATTATCCATCAAAGATTGAAGCGCACTACATAAAGAAAACATGCTGTGAGCATCCTAAGCGAACAGGGAATGAATTAGCCACGCCTAAAATGTTATGCTCAGTAGCTTTGTCTTCTACTTCACAGCAGTCTTCATTTGAACATTACTTTAATTTTTAAGACTTCTGGATGGATGCCATCTCCTCAGACACATACATTTGCCACAACTACTTCTTCAGGTCCTGCAAGGACTCGCAGCTTGTCTGGGTTGTTTGAGTCAGTCCAAAACCAGTGATTTTTGTGATCGCTTTTACTGAGATTATCCCTTGATCATACTTTTGCATCATGCAAAAGATGCAATCACTAAAATAATACTTAATAATTCCGCCCTTTTTCAACATGAGAAGAGAACAATTTGAGAAAGATCCCTACCTCAATTTCTTGATAGGAACTGTTGATCATAGCAATCAGCATGTTGAGCAGAACTACCACCATCGTTACGTTGTATATGCCATAAAGAACATAACCAATGTTCTCTATGAACTTATGATCGTATTTCAAGACAACAGAGGTTACTTCAGACAAGCCAAATATTGACCAAAATAAGGTTTTGAAACTTTCTTCCACTCTAAGGAAAAAAAAAAAGACAACATTATTACTACTACACAAATAAATATAAACTGTGTTTACAGTCATTGATAAACAATCTCAGGCAACTTGTCCATGAATCAGGTTTGTAGAGAACTGATCAAAATAACAAATATGCAAGAAAATATTTTTCACAGTATGCTCAGTTACCTCACTGTGCTCCATCTATGCATCATAGATAACACAGGTGTGATAGAAGCATGCAAAAGAACAGGAATTAGAAAGCCATCATATTTTCAGGTTTCAAGATATTCTCATTTTCCAGTCTAACTCTGCAGGGGGCAGACCTTCCCTGTCCTAACAAAGGTAAAAATGGGGCTGATGAGAAGAAAACCACTGTACTCCTTTTCAATAGTTTCTGATTAAACCGTCCATTCGGAAGTGTGCACTCCAAAATGGGCAGCATCAGGTTTAGCAACAAAACCAAGAATCCAAAGAGATCTCGTAGGATTTGCTTAAGACTGCTATTGAAATCAATGTAACATTGCTGCTGGCTGACTACCACATCACTGGGACACAGCTATATGAATAGGTATATTGTCTAGTAAAATACCGCTGCTGTTTAAGCAATTAATATTAATGGTTTGATTTCTGGATGGTCCTGTGTGGAGCCAGACGTTGGACTTGATGATCCCTGAGGGTCCCAGCTCAGAATAGTCTAAGATTCTAAAAAGCATTCAAACATTATGTATATTAGACAACTGATATCAAATACTGTAAAAAAAAAAAAAGTGCAAAAATCATATCAAATTAAGGAAAAGTCATGGAACTGGCTACATGAAAATACAATAGTGTTCAAAGAAGTTAGTAAAACTTCTGTATGAACATGGGAAAAAGGGAAGAGTTTGGAATTTTATCATGCTGTGGAATTACCTCTGGTTTGCAGTGCCCTTAGTAGTTAACACTTCCAGCACCACTTTGTGTCACAAAGTAAAATAAATACAGAAATGGAAGAAATGAAAGCTTCAGAGAAAATCGTGGCAAGCAAACCATCTCATTGCATGAAAACAGACATAACTGTCCTTCTGTACACACCTAACGATAAGAAGTTACCATGTAGATTGCAGATCTGATCCAAAAGAATCCAGTGCAGTTTATAGATTTGTTTCAGTACTGAAGTAAGGTAGAAATACACCATCTACATAACCAGTAAGTCCCTTTCTTGAAAAACTAAAGTGTTATTTGGAGACCTACCACTGACACCTAGGCTGAATCTCTGTTTATCACCTAAGTCTGACAGAGCCCAGACGGAGATTACAATTACAGCAATTGCTTTAGGAAAACGTCATGCAGGAGGAATCAATAATAGTTTGTTGCAATCAGTTGTCTACAAGCCTGTATGATTATCACAACATACTAGTACAATTATTTTAGACTGCAGTGACAGTTTCCATTATTCAAGTAAGAAAGAATAATGTATTCTTTTGTATTCTGCTTTCTAAGGTTTTGAGATATCTGATTTCCCACAAATCCCTGTTGTCTTCAGTTTAATTTTGACACAAGGAGGGAGCATACAGTATCTTAGATTTTGTTACCTTTGTAAGGAACTCAAAATTTCATAGCTGCTTTTCATTTAAATATTATTGCATGCTTACGTTGTAAAGGCTGGGTTTAGCTTAGCTCCAAGGTAGTAGGAATACAGTATGAACATCCCAATCATAAATGCAAGAAACACCATAATAAAAAGGACCATAAATTTGAAGATGTCTTTAACAGTCCTTCCAAGTGAAATCTGCAAGGGCCCAAAACTCTCATTTGCAGGCAGGATATATGCAATCCGAGAAAAACTCAGAACGACAGCAATTGCATAAAGGCCTTCAGATATTATCTGAGGATCAGATGGGAGCCATTTATCTCTAGCTGGAAGATACAAAATACAGAGGTAAATACAAAGTGTTACTCCTTTATCACAATGTTTAAAAATAAATCTTGATAGGATTTGCTGTACACATGTCTGAATTTAGTAAAGACAAATATTGGGAGAGTCTAGCAGCTGCTACTCTCTTCCTATTTCCTGTAAGTAACACAGCATGAAAATAAACTAAATTACCTTTTACTAGAAGAAAAATTATACTTGAAAAAATACAACATTTTCTTCTACAGTTTGCACTTTAACCTGAACTATAATAAGAATAAACAAGCCTTATTGCTTTTCTTAGCATTACTGTTTTATTGCTTATTCATATTAGGGGTTTTATTCATGAGAAGTTAACGGTGTTGGCTGATAAACAATTTCACTCATGAACCACATCAAGCTTTTGCCATTGTTAATAATTTAGGATATAACCAAGGCCTCACTGAACTCACAGACAATACTGCCATGAAAGTACATTGCAGAGGGTGTAGGATCATGATTTTTAACCACAATATACACAGAAACAATAGTTGTATTGGATCATATATATAGATAGTTATATAGAATCCTAAGTTGCTTATTGCATGAATTATTGTGCCATCTTAACACAACACTGCTGACTGAAAGCCTTTGATATAAAATACCACGTTTCTAAGTGTGTATTTACATAGATCCGAATTCAAATTGATTATATAGCAAATAAAGTAAACAACAAAACCAAATTTGCTATTGTAATATATCGAAGGAGCCATCAGGAATAAATACAGCCTTTGCTGCTGCAGCAAAAAGAAATTCATCACATCTCTAATTTCTGCACTGCAATAACCAACTGTTTATTATTTCCATTCTATTTGAACAGATTACTGGGTCTCGCATCCTTCCTTTATCGTGAAATATTGAATTACAATATTGAAACAACTGAACCAAGCAAAAAAATCACATAAAAATTTTATCTGCTGTGCATTATGTTGAGAATAAAATAAAGCTTGCAAATACTTAAAATTAAGACAGTCAAATTTAGCTCTGTATAAATAGTTACAACAAAAGGCAGTTAAATAATGAAGTTACATTTGAACTTTTGTCCTTATGCACATTGTTTGCTTTGGTAAACATTTGCCAAAATTGGCATCATAACAACTGTTGTTTAAATAGTACAGAATGAAAGATGGGGAGATAGAAACAGTCACAGAACTGGAGGGGTTGGAAGGGACCTCGAGGACCCAAAAAAGCCAGGGAGAGTGCAAACACAGTCCCCCACCCACCACAAATTATGCAGTCGAGTTTCCCACATTTGGGGAAATTGCAGGGCTCAGAACACCTGGAGCAGGGGATGAGCCTCACCCTGGGAAAACCACTGGCCTGATCATGGTGTCTCCCCTACCAGGTAAGCATGAACAGTGCTATGAACACAAACACAAGCAAAAATTCCATGTAAGGCTTCAAATGGTAGTTTTTCTACTTTAACATCCATGTTGCAGAAAATTTAAACTCACCATAAGTAAAATATTCTATTTCTGGAGGAAGCGTGACCTCAGAGAGGTCACTCTCCACAATGTAGTTGTCCACATATTGTTGTGCTTTTGTGGCCTGCAGGAATGCTAGAAGCCTCGCCGTGAAAGCTGCAATGAAAATGGACAGCATCCCAAAATCCAAAACATTCCATAACTGCAGAATATATTCCCTGGGTCCTTCCAGCCACAGCTCTTTGCATTCTGACCACATCATGCCTGCAACAAGAAACGACAAAACACAGCAAAGTTGGCCACACCATTTCCATTTAAATTTCCTGCGTTCTCCCATTCCATGAAACCACACGGCACCAGCAGAACAAAAATTCACTTACTTGCAGCATCACAGGGTTGTCACACACTTGAGCAAGGCTGTCTCAACAGGACTGATCAAACGGCAAGACATAAATAAATATGCAAGGATAAAGCTCAGCTGTCTCCATACAGGATAGTATAGAGCCACAACTTGGCAGTGGAAGTGCTATAGCCCAACAACATGACAACATGCTAGGCTTCTAAAGAAGAAAAAAGTTAAATGTGGAAAAAGAACCTCTCATTTCCTTACCATTTACATTCAGAAAATGCTCATGAATCAGAAGGATTTTTTTACTTATTTATTTATTTTACACAGAGAAGCACAATAACCCAACTACACAAATGCCCAAATATAAATGGCACAGTTTCAATACTGGTTCTCTTTACAGAATAAGATGCTTTTCAGCACAGAAAGTGGAACTTGGCTGTAACTCAGCTTTCTTACTCAAACTCCTCCTCAGAAATTTGTTCATGTGGGATTAATCCAGGTCACAGCCTGATCAAGACTTTGAGTATAATTGTCATGAATCAAGACCTTCTCTTACTTCAAAGAGGTTTGTTAGCAAGAACAAAATAAAAGAAAAACTTTCTCCTTGACTTCCTGGCCATGTAGTTCAGAGGGAGTACTGCTCTGCTGCAGGCTTGAGCCATGGATTCTCCAATCTCAATTGTAATTTTGCTGTCACCCCAACAACATGCACAGCAGCCACACACTGGATTGGCTTGGGGCTGGTTGTCTCTCGAGTGTCCAAGAAATTTCTCAGTGATTGGATCCTAAAGACCACCACAATCTCAGTCCTTGCCTTCTGGCACACAGAGAGGCTGCTCTCCATCAGTCTGTAATAGGATTACCAGCAGGCAGCATACCAGGTATACTAATCTTCATACCCTAACTGAGTTTGACATTAAGCAGTGCTTAAGCCAGGAGATACAGATGATTCAAAAGGCAGAGTAAGGAACTTGTAGCAGCCAAAGCAGTACTCCCTTTCTCTCCTGCAGCCTCTAAAAGCTGAGAATGCTACATTATCAAGTAGCTGTTTTCCTACAGAAAGCACCTAACTGATGAAAAGCTAGAAAATGGCACTTCCTGCCATACATAGCTTCAATCAGGCCAACAGCTGATTAGCTTTTGTGAAAAATATTGAATAATGAGAACTGACTCATTAGCCCCTTGACACGGGTGGAATTGGTGATTTCTCCAAACCCCACCTAAGCAGCAAAGCCCCACAAGCACTGCTGTACCAGCTCATTAACACCGAGGTCACCTTCTCGCACACGGAGCAGCACAGTACGCTTGCTGATCCTACTTAAGGAAACCCAAGTAAAATTTCTGTGGTGTTCTCTTCAGCAAGCCTGTGTTCCTGTTACAAAAGCCAGAATTACTGAACTGCAGCAAAGTCGCCGCCGATCAGCAAACAAGTATTAACCCCATGCTACTAGAGGGGGCAGCACAGAGAAGCTTTCACCAGTTCCAGTGTGCTGTTATCTGCCCTGAGGGCTTAATTTTAACTGTGCTGCAGCTAGAGCGAAGGTTCGGGACCTGGGCTTCTCTCCTTTATTTTAGGATTTCTACCTTCAGGCAGACAGTGACAGAGATGGAAGGGGCATTATACTTACCAAGTACCCACACCATGATCAGCATTTCTGTCCAGGTGAACTGAGTTGTCTTCACCCTAAAGATCTGCTTAGGGTAATCAGTGACGGTGACATTCGGCAGCGTTGTTATGCCTTCAAATCTGTCTGAAGCATTGAACACCAGCAGGCCTAGGAAAATAATGAAGGATGCTGCATGTGCCACAAATTTCATAAACGGGCTTCGAAGAATTCTTCCAAGCTGCAAAGGCAGAATGAAAGCAGTCACATTTTTTTCAAAGGAACAAACTCTTCTGTCAAGTATTTCAGAAGCATTTATGGCACTCAGTGCTCAGAACAGTCTGACACTTTGTTTTTACAGGATACTCCTCCAAGTGCCCTGAACTGTGGTGCTTTACCATTTCAGACAAAACTCTCTCAAAGGCAGTCTCGTGGATTATATTGTCCTGTTAGTGTGTGTTTATGTTATTCCATAAACTCTAAATGGCAATATTTATGGGAAAACACTCCAAGGAGTTACAAGTGTACACTGGCACTCACAGAAGAAGTTTGATCTAATGCCCACTGATGCCAATGGGGGGCTGGAGCAAGCCTATGGCAAATAAATAAAAGCCCCAAGTAGCAACTAACAACAAGACTAACAACAAGAAAGTTGTATTAGCTTGCCTGTGACTATAACCTAACTCTAGGAAAAAAAATAAATCAGACTCATCTTCTCATCTCTGGCTACTGTTTTCCATCCACAGAACATTTTTTTCAGAGCAGAAGGTCCTAAACAAATAATCTGCAAATGTCTACTAAAACCAATGACTATTCCATCACAGTGGACTAAGAAAGAATCAGAGATATTACTTCCAAATAAATGCAGTTAATGCATTTCAACATCTGCACCTGCCAGGACAGAATAGACACAACACAGGCAGCCCTTCTGTAGCTCAGGAGAGGAGCAGCTGACTCCAGAAGACAATGCTGGGAAGAGCAATGGGCCTGTTGCTGTTACTTGCTGTACAAAAAAGAAGAGCCTGTGGTTGCATCTGTACTAGCCTCATCCTGCAAGCCAGCGTCAAAAGCGCCAAGTCCATCCCTCTGAGGGCATTGTATAAGAAACAAAATGAGTTCAGCAGGTGGGGAACCGTAAGTAGCTTACTTATTTCAAGGAATGGCTTTCAGAAACTGGGGTCAGCTACTATGCACTAAGCAGACCAGCACACGCTAAACAGCATTTACTACCTGTGCAAACAATCCCAGGTTCCTTTCCTGCCGATGACCTTTAGAAAGCATTTTGAAATTACAATATCAAATAACCCGTCTGGAGGTACACTGCATTTGTTTGACATGAGAACTATGAAAAATGTCAGGTGTTTCTGGTACTGAGAATTAAAGCTCAAGGACAAATGTTACTTTTCCACATTAGATGCTACCAAAAAAAAGTATTAATATGTTTCTGTGACATGGAGCTGTGAGGAATATCTTCACTAAAGATAAGCACAGAAAATATTTCAGATAACAATCAGAACAACAACTGTGTTGTTTCATACACATTTATCTTAAAAGTAAACAAATATTTAACCCAGAGAAAACACCAGGTTCCCTTGAAAAATGCAAAAGATGAGCAAACTTCCTTTTTGAAGTGAAATGCATTTCTTAGCTGTTGACTACAAATATCATTAATAAGCTAAAAATTGGAAACAACAGAATTAGAAGCACATCATTACATTTTGAATGCCAGAAACTTAAAAACAGCCCTCAGAATAGTATAGGATACACAATTTATAAGAGTCAGTACCCTGCTACATGGCGCAATCCAATAACCAATGGCTAGAAAAGGAAGGCCCAACGCCACAACCAGCACTACCAGACACTTGATAGCTATGGTCTGCTCCCGCAGTCCCGAGAGGTTTTCATACCAGATAGTCAGTAGTTGTTGCTGACAGTTTGGATGGGCCACAAACTGCAGAAAAAAAAAGAAAGAAAACCAAGACACATTAAGTTTTATAGGATGAGTTATATGACTGCTACATACAGGGTCAGTAAACCTTAAATATCTGATGTTAATTCTGACCTTTAGAACCATGCCTCTTTTCTTTCCTTTAAAATAATGCTTAACAAGTAAAAAAAAGAAACTGCTGAGCCCATTAAAAGAAGCATTTTGAGGATAGAGTCACACACGTGGACAGCGAGGGAAGTCTTTTACACATCATTAGAACAACTTTGCATACCCAACTGGATCGAGTCAGAGTTGAGCCTTGGTGCTAACTTCCAACAATTTCTCAACAAATCCAGCTGATCCAAGGCACATGCAGAGTCTGATGGGAGCCCAGACCTTCTGGGGAACCCAGAATTCACCTTGAGCCTCTCCCTTTCTGCACATTCACTTCCTCAAACATCACTGCCCTGGGATTTGGTTCTTCTGCAAAGGCTCCAAATACCTCCCATCTATACATTTTAAGTCTAAAACTTCCTAGGCAAGAAATAAGTGAAGCAAAACTATGGCACAGAATTTTAAACCTCAACAAAGGCACAGAGATGGATAATGAAAGGGTTTCTTCTCTTATCTGCATCAATGGTGCTAGGTACCGCTTCTACTTGGATGCACCTGGGATTAGAAATGCAATAAGAAGCCAGGTCCTACAAAGACATTTTGGTGTGTTATGGAAAATAACACTTACTATTCAGTGACACAAGGAAATTCTGTCTTGTGAGTCAGATGAAAAGATGCTCCTATGGCTTTAATGATGCTCTAAGTATGCTAATAGATTGCATTTTGCAATAGATCGCATGGTTTTGTATTTTATCTATTTTAAATTCATACCTTTGATACGTCAGCTATAAAATACGAAATACTCAAATTTCACATTTTTGAAAAATAACTGTTCCTTTATACTACTTTAATACTTTAGAGCATCCTGAGTGTATACAATCTATAGCAAGCATCAAACAGAATTGGGGAAACCACAAGAGTCCATTTGTACAAAT